ATATTATTCTTTTACTATTTTAATTAATTAAATATTGAATTACCTGATGATTATTAATCAAGGATATTTTTATCAAAATACAGTTTCTTTTCATTTAATTACGTTGTCAACCAAATAGCATAATCCTCATTCAGGTACTGATTCCATAACTCCAACCAAACTAAAGAATCTAATTATGATTCTAGCACATTCTAATTCCATTCCATTACTATGCTCATTACTATTCTCATTACCATTCCGCCACTGCAACCAAACACATTTTGTATTTTGTTTAGTATTTCTTAATATTTATCACTAAATGAGATTTCATTCTCTGCTATCTTTTAGTGATTGGTCTTAAACTATTTTCTAAAAATTATGTTCTATTTCTTTATTTTAATTTAATAAATATTGATCATTTTATTTTTCTAAACAAAAAGTATAATTTTTCCTCTTTTATTTAGGTATAATAGTTGATGAATGTATATTAAAAGGTTGTAGATAAAAAAAAAAGTTAACCTTATACTTAATTTTAGTAAGGACTATATATCTACATTTTGATTAACTTTGATTTTTATGAAAATGATAACACTTTTAAGACCCGTTTAATTCACTTATTCGAGTTTTTAATTTGAGTTGAGATGTGACTTTATGTGAAAACTTTTTACTGTAATAAAAAAATTATATGTTATTATTTCTGAAAACTTTTTACTGTACTAAAATTCAAATTATAAACTCGAATCGGTAAAATAAATGAGACCTTAATTAAATTATATGTGACTAAAATTTTTGCAAACACATTTGGGCTGCACTAGCATTCGATAACGTGTGAACCAAACACTAGAAGCAACAAACCCCCAAAAATGTTACTCATATCAAGTCTTCATCGTTCATTTCACCGATTCAAGTTTTCAGTTTTAAGTTTCTACAGTAAAAAATTTTTTAAAAATATCACATCTAACTTTTTTTACTACAATAAAAAATTTTAAAAAAATATTACATTTCAATTCGAATTAAAAATTTAAATTCACAAAGTAAACAAAATCAACTCTCGTTAATCACATTTATTGGCCTCGTCACTGACAAAAAAGCCTAATTATATCATTCAATCACTGCTCCAAAAAGTCGCACGGAAGTATATTAACTTTTTTTGTTATTTGTTGTATGACAATTATTTTTTGTCTTTTTTGGTTTTGTATTTATGTTTTTTTGGCTAATCATTTGTAGGTCTTATTTCTATTTTTTATTGGATTGATTTCTTCTTTTTTTTTTTTTTTCATTTTGTTCGTTTTCTTTTCTTTGCTTATGCTCGTTTACGATTTTTTGTTCCTGTTGCCATTTTGTCTTTTTAATCATAACTCAATTGATAAATTAATTATGTTGCCATTTTTTCATTTATTATTATTTTTATTTATTTTGCTTTGTATTTTTTTCTCTGAAACGTCCTTTATTTAAAAAAATGTTATCGAAAATTTTCTTTATGTGTGAAAAAAAGGCTCCATGCATAAAGTTTCAACCAAAAAAAGAGATATCCAAATGATAATATTAAAGTAATAATTTAAAATGAAATGGTGGGTTTAAAAATGTAAACGAAGTGGTCAGGAATTAACAATCCTAGGAAAATAGTTTGGAGTAAATTTTTAATAAGTGAAATAAGTAAAAAATAAATTTTATCATTTTAAAATGATGCTTGGTATGTATTTAAAAAAAAGTGTACAAAGAATAAAGAGTATTTATATAAATAGAATCACCCTATACGATAGAATATAATAAAATACGGTGTACTAAATATGCCTAAAGTGAATTTTTACAATAGGTATCAGTTTCATGGAAAGTAAATCCAAATGACGTTCTGGTTATAAGATAAAGGAAAATCACGTATATAACAAAATAAAGCTAAAGTCTTAAAATAGCAAAATGAATCATATTAGCAACAAAAAATAATGTATATATAACATAACATAAAAAGCAGCAAAATGACATGTATGTATAATTATATTAGCAGTACTTAATCAAGATACTAACTTGCTTTTAACTGATGTGAAAGTTTATGGAATTCTCCTAATAATTTGAACGATTATGGAAATAGAAAAGAAATTTCATTTTTTTTAATGCTAATGCGATCTAACTTTATTATTATTATTATTATTATTGAACTAATGTGATCTAACTAATATATCCACTATAAGAATAATCACTTTAAGAGACTAAATTTTTTGTTACCAAAAAATGTTTGGTAGCAGAAAACACACTTTTTGTTATCAAACTTTGATAGCTGAAATTATCAAGACTTTAGTTATCAAATCTGGTAGCAAAAAATACACAATCCGGTACCAAATATAATTTAGTAATAAATAACATGTCGGGAAATGAAATTTGATTTCCTCCAATAATTTTTTACTACCAAAACAATATTTGGTAATAAAAACATTAAGATTCTGCCACCAAAATTTGGTAGCAAAATATTATTTTTTTACTACCAAACATGTTTTGGTAACAAAATGTTGGCGGGAAGTAAAATTTTTTCTTGCCCGATGTATTTGCTACCGAATTATTTTTGGTAGTAAAACATATAACATTTGATACCAAGTGTTGGAAGCAAAATATAACTATCTGTCACCAAAATTTAGTAGTGAAAAATCAAATTTTTGCTATCAAAAAATATAATTTTCTGGTACCAAATTTTGGTAGCAGAAAACTAGATTTTGCTACCAAATTCATATTTTAGTGGCGAAAAGGCGTTTTTTGCTACTAAAAATTGTGTTTGGTAGCAAATCATTTAAAAACTTTAAAACTTATATTTTGTGTTTATATTGGTTTTTTTTTAGTTTTCCATGAATATGTCCTATATTAAGTTTTAACAATCATCCAAGTATATTTTGTATAACAATTATTTGATAATTTAAATATTTTGTATAGGTGTAACAAGAGACACGTTCATGTGTGTGTATATATATATATATATGTGTGATCTTGTTAATTAAGTATATGTTCTACATAGAGTAGTATATAATCTTGCTATTTAATTGATTTTTACCTTTGAATAATGTATTTCAATTTCAAAACTATATTTTTGTTATAATGTTACTAGAACAATTATTCTAAAATAATTTTTGTCATTAAAATGTTTTTTTATTTATTTTTAACATATGTCTTTCTAGTACCAAATTCAAATTTGATAGCAAAAAATATGCTTTCAGCTACCAAAATAATGTTTGGTAACAAAAAATATAATTTTTTGGTACCAAATTTTGATAGCAGAAAACATGATTCTGCCACCAAATTCATATTTTGGTGGCAAAATGGCATTTTTTGCTACCAAAAGTTGTGTTTGGTAGCAAATAATATAAAAACTTTAAAACTTATATTTTGTGCATGTATTGTTTTTTTTTTTTAGTTTTCCATGAATATGTCCTGTATTAAATTTTAACAATCATCCTAGTATATTTTCTATAACAATTATTTGATAATTTAGTTATTTTGTGTAGGTGTAACTAAAGACATGTTCATGTGTATATATATGTGATCTTGTTAATTAAGTATATGTTCCACATAGAGTAGTATATAATCTTGCTATTTAATTAATTTTTACCTTTGAATAATGTATTTCAATTTTAAAACTATATTTTTGCTATAATGTTAGTAGAACAATGATTCTAAAATAATTTTTGTCATTAAAATGTTTTGTTTAATTTTTAACATATGCCTTTTTGGTACCAAATTCAAATTTGGTAGCAAAAAATATACTTTCAGCTACCAAAATAATGTTTGGTAAGAAAAAATATAATTTTCTGGTACTAAATTTTTATAGCAGAAAACATGATTCTGCTACCAAATTCATATTTTGGTGGCAAAATAGCGTTTTTTGCTACCAAAAGTTGTGTTTGGTAGCAAATCATATAAAAACTTTAAAACTTATATTTTGTGCATGTATTATTATTTTTTTTTAGTTTTCCATGAATATGTCCTATATTAAGTTTTAACAATCATCCTAGTATATTTTGTATAACAATTATTTGATAATTTAGTTATTTTGTATAGGTGTAACTAGAGACATGTTCATGTGTATATATATGTGATCTTGTTAATTAAGTATATGTTCCACGTAAAGTAGTATATAATCTTACTATTTGATTGATTTTTAACATTGAATAATGTATTTCAATTTCAAAACTATATTTTTTGTTATAATGCTACTAGAACAATGATTCTAAAATAATTTTTAGCATTAAAATGTTTTTTTATTTATTTTTAACATGTCTTTCTGGTACCAAATTCAAATTGGGTAGCAAAAATATGCTTTCGGCTACCAAAATAGTGTTTGGTAACAAAAAATATAATTTTCTGGTACCAAATTTTAGTAGCAAAAAACATGATTCTCCTACCAAATTCATATTTTGGTGGCAAAAAAATATTTTTTGCTACCAAAAATTGTGTTTGGTCACAAATCATATAAAAACTTTAAACCTTATATTTTGTGCACGTATTTTTTTTTTTTTAGTTTCCATGAATTTGTCCTATATTAAGTTTTAACAATCATTATAGTATATTTTGTATAATAATTATTTGATAATTTAGTTATTTTGTGTAGGTATAACAAAAGACATGTTCATGTGTATATATATGAGATCTTGTTAATTAAGTACATGTTCTACATAGAGTAGTATATAATCTTTCTATTTAATTACTTTTTAACATAGAATAATGTATTTCAATTTCAAAACTATATTTTTTATTATAATGTTATTAAAACAATGAGTTTAAAATAATATTTGTCATCAAAATATATTTAAAAAAAAATTTAATATATGTTTTTCTGCTACTAAATTAAAATTTAATAGCAAAAAATATACTTTTAGTTACCAAAATAATATTTGATAACAAAAAAATATAAATATTTACTACTAAATATTTGGCAACAAAAAAAGAACAAAATTTTTGTGGGAAAAACATTTTAACCTACCTTCCTGAAAATTCAAAACACACCCACACGTTTAATTAAAAATCCCTATACTCGGCAGATCCATCCCCAACGTCCTTATTCCCTTTCTTCACCATCTTCTTCAGAAACTCTCATCGGCCCTCTTCTCCAGACGCCGCTCCTCCTCCGCCGCCTTCCAGTCCTCAAGAAATTCTCTGTAGCTCTAGATCTCTCTCTCGCTCCTCTCTCTAGCCGCTTCTCGCCGTCGCCGACTCTGATTCTCACTGTCGCCGCTCCCGATTCTCGCTGCCGCCGCCGATTCTCGTCGTTGCCGCCAGTTGCCGAAAAGCCAGAGACATCTCTCCTCACCATCAACACCTCCTCCTTCTTTCTGGTCAGTTCTCTCTCTCTCTCTCTCTCTCTGTCTCTCTCATCGTGGAAATTCTCTGTCTGCAAGTATTGGCATTGTTTCTGGCAATGAAATTTCAGCTTTGAACTTTGAAAAATGATCATGGGTTCCACTGCACAGCACACATGGACATAAGGCTTAATAATAACAAAAAGAAGCATATGGATAAAATAAATGTACAGGAATAAAATGAGGCCCCCAAGTATAACAAAAAGCATCTCTGACATTAGGATCAAGCATATTCACGGTGGGTTGAAAGAGAAAATAAACATGGGTTTTTTGCCATGAAACTTCTGTGGTACCGGAAGAGTGGTGAATGGCAATGGGTTCACTTTATTATACATTTAAATCTGTATTATTTAAACCAGTTGCACTTGCCCAAAAAAACAGGCAGCACTTACAAATATTCAAACTTCAATGGCTTCTCCAGCCAACTAATTAGAGCATCAATTTCCACACTAGTTTAAGGTTTCACTTTAGGGGTACTTGTAAATTAATTTCACAATCTGTATTCTTCGACAGCACCATAGTTATTCTTTCACCAGTATTCTTAAGAAGCACCAAATCGAAAGGGAAACAAGAAGCAACATACTAGGCCTCGCATTTTTATTGACTATAGATTTCAAAAGAAAGGCAAAAAGTTGGTATTAAATTAGGTCTACCCACTTCGGTGTTCAAAATTTAAACAAAAAACTTGAAATGATTAATCGATTCTAGTCACATTTGATATTTGTTTGCATTTATTTAGTCGGCAAACATTAGACACCAATATTTCTTGAGGATCTATTTGATTTAGATTTTGAGGCGTATCCACAATTGAAAGACATTGTGCATCAATATTTCTATAAGCGCTTTAAAGGTTATTGATATAGGTGCCACAAAAAATATCAGGCCATTATTGAGGAAGGAAAAAATCTATTACAACATTTACTAAATCAATACATTAAATCAGATGATTGGGAGTGGATGTGCATCAATTGGTTTGGCGATGATCAATGACAGGTAAAATGAACAACTTAATTGTATTATGAGACATTTGTTTGAGAATGTGGTTTTGGATATGCAAATTGAACCAATATATGTGGTTTTGGATTTTCTGGGTTGAAATTGTAGGGGAGATGATGTTGAAATTTCTATCATATTTTAATGCATTTAAATGTCTCTTTTTTCATTTATACAGAAAAAAGCACAGGTTGTTGTGGAAAATCATTTCAAAAAGCCAGCAGGTTATTTGGGTGGCTCAAGATCTATAGTTCAACATTTAGAGGAAGTTCATGTAATTAGTTTTCACCCACTTAAGTATATTACCACTTGAAACCATAATTACTAAACACTTTATCATTTCGTTTGATTTTGTATTTTTTTTTCTCTAACTTGAAAGTTTATAACATTTCGCCTAATGCAAGAACAAATGATCAAGATTCGCAATACTCGTTTAAGTGAAGTACCAAAGGAGTCAAAACTTGACTCTGATGCGGAAGAAGAAATTTACTGTCAAGTTTTATCAAGTGTGGCATAGGTCTTGTGACTCTTGTCTAAAAATAGCGTCACAAGCTCGCAAATTTAGAAGGTCGGGATATAAAAAGCTTCAAAATGAAGTTCAGGAAAACAATCGTCGTATGTCGGATATGGAAATTCTAATGAAGCAATAACAATAGTTTATTCAAAAGCTACTTCAACAGATAAATTCGTCATCAGATCATCCTGGACATTCCGTCCCAAGAAGAGAAGATCATTCGCCACCGTCACCACCGGTCTCAGTTTGTTAGAGCGTTTACTTGTAATATTAAGATTTTACTAGTATAATATTTGCATAAGTGTTTGGATTTGCTTAAGTATGATTATTTTAGTATTTTGTTTTGATTTTAATATGTATTGAAATATTTAGAGATTTTTAAATTAATATTTGATATTTTATTTATATATATTTTTAAAAAATACAGTTATATAAATTTGTTTCAGTTTTGGTGACTAAAAAAATTTGATAGCAAAAAATTAGTTATTTGTTACTAAATATTTAGTACCTGAATCTTGTACTTTTCATTATCAAATATATTTTACTACTAAAAATTTGGTCTTTAAATCTCATATTTTTCGCTACCAAATATTTTTTACTATCAAATATTTGGTTACTAAATCTCGTATATTTCGCTACTAAATACAATTTGATAATAAATATTTGGTTCCTAAATCTCATAGTTTTTGCTATTAAATACCTTTTATTACCAAATATTTAGTGACTGAATTGCGTATTTTTTATTACTAAATATATTTTGTTATTAAAATTTCAGGGTCCTAAAGCTTACATTTTTTGCTATAAAAAACCTTTTGCTATCGAAATTTTTGGTCCCTAAATATCATACATTTTGTTATTAAATATATTTTGTTACCAAAATGTTTTTTGGTAGTAAAAACTATGTGCTACCAAAAGTTTAGTTACTAATATTTTTTACTATGCACTTTTTGTTACTAAAATTTTTTAATAACAAAAACATTTTGCTACCAAAAATAGGGCTTTTGGTTACCAAATTTTGGTAACAAAAACTTCAAATTCTTGTAGTGATCGAAACACAAGTCTGCCAACACCTTTAAAAGACATTTCATACGGATCTTAAAATATCTTCAATAATTTTTATGGTTTTTCAGGGTCCGTTTAGTTTGCTGATTCGAATTTTTAATTCGAGTTAAGATGTGATTTTATATGAGAGTTTTTTATTGTAACAAAAAAGTTAGATGTGACTGTTTCTGAGGACTTTTTACTGTAACAAAACTCAAATTCTAAATTCAAATCGGTGAAATAAACGAGACCCAATCTCCTTCGGTTTCTTTCTCTCTCTTTTCGTATATTCTTTCTCAGTCACTACTCCTCACCGATGTAACTCCGCCGCTTCTTTGCTTGCCCCCACTGTTTGCCTCAGAATAACTAAATTGGCTTTTAAAGACTTTTGCAAACTTATTACAGTTATTCAAAAGTTCTTAATAATCACAATAACTCAAATTAACCCAAATAATAATAATAATATAATAACAATGATAATGATAATAATAAATAATAGCAATAAAATGATAATAATAATAGTAACACTAGTAATAATAGTGCAATTAAATACTTAGTCAAACAATACCACTTAACAAATATTTAATCAAAAAATACTTAAACGACGCCTAGCTACTAATGCATAAAAAAATATCTATCAACAATAAGTAGAGGAGTTAGGGCTATATAGTTCTAAAGCTATTTACAATGGTTCAACAATATATCTGAGAGGAGTTGCAATTTGAGTCATGACTAGTGCTAGAACTTCGGGTCAGCGGGCCGCCCGAAGCCCGAATTTTTTCAGGCTCGGGCGGGCGGGCGGGCCCAATTCCTGCCCGCCCAAGCAAGAAATTCAGGTTCGGGCTCGGGCAGCCTGAATTTGACATGTCCACCCTTGTCCGCCGCCGTCTAACCACCGTATACCGCCGTCCACCGGGATTTTTTTAAAATTTTTCTGACCATGCCCGAACTGTCCGACCCGAAAATTGCCCGAAAATTGGGTGTGCCCGAATTGCCCGACCCGAAGCCCGAATTTTTGATTTTTTTTTTATTTTGCCCAAAATTTTCCTGACTGCCCGAATTGCCCGACCCGCCCGAGGTGCCCGAATACCCGAAAACGGCTAGTTTTTTGAATTTTGCCCGAAAATCTGAAAACGGCTAATTTTTTGAATTTTTATCCGAATTCTGCCCGAAAACCCGAGTTGCCCAAGGTGCCCGAATTTTTATCCTAATTTTCATGTCCATTCTCATGAAACCACGAGCGCAAGGAAATTCCAAACGATGTCCTGAGTTAGATGCCCTTTTAGAAACAAAGTTCGTATCAGACATAATCCAGTACTACCAAAATTTGGGAATAATAATAATAATAATATCAATAGTAATATGTTATGTTAACATATTTTATATTTTACATTGATTTTGGTTTATATGGTATATGAATATTAGCTTATGTGGTATGTATTATATCAATATTAATTTGTATAGTATGTACTAATATCATTAATACGTTATAATTTTATTGTGTTAATATCATTAATATATTAATAATATATTATGTTAGCATATTTTATCTTTTGTATTAATATTTATTAGTTTATACAGTATATCAATATTATCTTATGTAGTATATTAATACAATAACATATTAAATATTAAGTGAAAAAAGGAGACGTACCCATTCTAGTATGACATTAATGTCATCATGAAGTCACAAAAGAAGGGTAATATCAAACAATGACTCTAAGCAACCACCAGTAACCAGCGAAGTTGGTCTCGGATATTATTAGAACCAGCAGCACAAGTCGCTGGAATGCACACTTGATTGTCTCCATAAAACGAACCCAAAACAAAAAGAGAACATTAGTCAAAACATATGTGAATTTGTTTGGCTGCCCATGCTTTACCTTTTCACTTGAGTTTGAGAAGGGAACGGAGTTTGTTGAATGAGTATTGAAACGCCTTCATGCTTTTAAACTTTCGTATGAGAAATTACTTTTAATGAGACATGAAACAGTTTAATAATTATATCAATACAGCACAAAAGAATACTCTCAAACAACCTTCAAAATATTTAATGTCACATTAAATTCTCTTTATAAGTGGGTTTTATATAATCATTGTTAAACATTAAATATTCTGGAGATCGTATAAAAATATTCATTTATCTTGTATCGATATATATTTATCATTAAACTATTTGATGTCTAACCAAAAATAATCTCAAAAGCTTTAGGAGAAGAACCAAAACCATATTCTTTCTCTGAAAGCAAATCATTACTGCATGTGAGAGAAAAGTTACAAATAAACATATTTAAACATATTTACACTAAACGTAGACAAAACTAATTATAATAATAGAGGTTTCACAATGGTACTCAACTTCTTCTCTATTGATATATGAGATATATGTCTGTGTGTGTATATATATATACATATATATGATAATCCGGTAAAAAGAAGAATAACCATTTGCGTATAAATTACAAATTCAATAAAGAAAAGAGTATAATAAAAGGTCCTAAGTATACTAGAACTTTAGGAAGGAACGAAAAAAAAGGTACTGACCTCTATGCGTGGCCCTGCAGCCCCAACCTCAACATAATGCATTATTTATAGGCTGACAAATCCTAATTCAACATGCAATCCTAGTTTCAGTTTTTTTTTTTTTTTTTGATCGAAAAAAATCCTAGTTTGAGTTGAACACGTAATAAAGTGTCCTAGTTTAAGGAAAACTAGGGAAAATAAAGTCTTCTTAGAGTCCTATCAGACATAAACTCACAAACTAACACAAAATAATTAAGAGAAAATTTTAAGTTTAACCATTATTATTTTCATGTCATTCTAAAAAAATGTCATTATGACCTTTTATTTCTTCTTATTAATTAAATGACACTTATTTATTTTTTAATAAAATAATATAAATAATATTTTTTTACCATCTTTAATGGTATTTTTTAATTTTTTTTTCAAATTATTAAATGCATACGTATTTAGGAGCCTTAATTGTAGACTATGCAATCCTAGTCTCATGATTCATGAATTATAAATTTAAAAATTAATAAAGGAATAATTTTTTTTATATAGTTCGTGTATTCATTTCAAATTGTAATATATATATATATATAAATAACTTAATATTAAAAAAAAATTTAAAAAATTTGGGTAATTCGGGCATGCTCGGGCCGCCGAATACAAGCCCGCGGCCCGTTCAAGGTGAAATTCGGGCTCGGGCGGGCGGCCCAAAAATCTCGGGCGGGTCGGGTTCGGGCTCGGGCAAATCCTCGGGCTTTTCGGGCAGTCGCGGGCGGCCCGTCCAAAGTTCCAGCACTAGTCATGACATGATAAATGACTCGAAACCCGCACAAAATTAGTGAATTTGGGTATACTATAAATGAGTTTGTGTCCTAATTCCATTGACATGATTAACACGATTTTTTAAATGAGTCTTGTTCGAGTTGACATGTTTACCACGAAACATCCAATTTTAACACAATTAACTATATTTATTATTTTACAATCCAATTATGTAGGTCGTGATATAAAAGTTTTTATAGTCTATTAGATAAAAAACAATATGGATTTAGAATTTAGTTACAAACTTTTATTTATTTTTCTTGACAGAAAATATAAGTTCATCAAACACATATTAAACGTGTCACTATTGTGTAAATTATATTCAACATACGAATTTAAACAAGTTAATTGTGTCATCCAAAATAATAAATTTGGCATGTTGGATTGATATTTTTAAAACGCTTAATAAATAGATTGTGTTTAAATGACAACTAATAAATAGATTAAATGAACACAGTCCATTAATATGAATTATCATCTGTAGTGTCACTAAGCAAATTATAACTTAGCCTTTTCCATTGTATCTTAATCATCTTTTCAGCGCGATCACTCTAAAAGAAAATGGCCATAACGATGAGGCTCACCACACCTTTCATATTCATCAAACTCAAACTTTAACTTAGGATTGACAACCTATAATCTTGATTTTCGAATAATACAATGAAGAATGATAAATTTAGGCTCAACGGTTTTTTCTAAAGATTTGATACAATGTAAGCCTAGGAAATAAATGAGCAAACACAAAATATACTGTTTGTAAAAACTCATAGTAAGGCATTAGATTATGAGATGGTATTTAACATAAAAAAATAAATGTTAAAAACAATTTGCTCCTAATATTAGTTTAACTAGCTTTCATATTTCTTTCTTTCAACAAATTAACCACAATAAAGCTCGGGGTAGAACTTTAAGTTTGGGCCGGATCAAATAAGTAGATCCGAAACTTGTCATTATTGGTTTGGTCCCAACATGAACACCCAATGCTCTTATTATATATATTTTCTAATTTTCCTTATAAAAACACAAGCCAACCCAGTCCCAGCCCGACTCTAGTCTTAGCTCATTGAGCTTTAGAGCTAGGTTGAGCTAGGCAGGCCGAATTTTACGGGTTATTAATGTGATATTTGAAAGTTTAGGTGACAAAATGAGACAAGGAATAGTTTTCAAGGGACAACATTGAAAATCATTCTAAATTAATTTAACAAATTATCCTCATTGAAAGTATCAGGTGCACCTCACATGCTCATTCAATCTATTTTTTGACTATATTGTGACAAAAAGATCAAAAGTATAATGTTTGTAAAATTCAAGGGCAATTATTGTGACAGTTAAAAGTTTAGGAGACAAAATGAGACAAAGAGTATTTCTCGGGATTAAAATTGAAATAACCCAAAAACAATTGTGAATATGTTTGGTTAGTGGATTCGTGTCATAATTCGAATCATAGTTCGTAGTTTACTATAGTATTTTCTCTAAAAAAAAATACACGTAAATCAAGAATAATTTTAAATTATAATTTTAAATTTATGAACTAAACATCCATTAAATAAGAAACGGAGAGCAGTGAACCTTAGCCAACCAACAGGTGATGGCCAGAGGGATGCTGCCAAACCAAGCACTTCCCCTATAATATTGTACGGACATAAGGTTTCACCAAAGTTACAGTTATACTCTTCTTCACATTAATGGCATTACTTCCGTTCTATTATTTCTTTCTTTTTTTTTTTCTTTTTGACTTTGTCTTGTTGATATTTCAACTAAGTGCATGTAAAATTATGTAAAGTAGAGTCAAAACAACAGAAGACCATTGATAAAACAAAAACCATTACCGACTTGGACTAATAGACAGTAGTATGTGTAAAATAGATAAAAATTTGAAATGAATTAAAATTAATAAGTTAATAGTTTATATAAATTAATAAATGGGTTAAATTATTATTTTTGTTTATAATTTATTTAGTTATGAATCATAATTTGATAAGTTATGATTTATAAATTATAATTTTTATCTATAATTTATCTGATTATGAACTATAACTTGATAAATTTATTTATAATTTATCTAATTATAAATTATAACTTAATAAATTATAACCTATTAATTTTTATAATTAAAAATTCACTTATATACTTTTTTAAATTTTTTATATCGATCTTATTTTTTACTATTTCCTATATATATATTATCTGCCTTCTTTCTCACAGAACAAACAAGGGCAACTGGCCTACTGTAAAAACACGTAATGCATTCACCTTTCCAAGAACCGAACTTTGACTTTCTGCGGCAAAAGAAGGAAACTCATGATAAAGGAAAATTGAAAAAGACGTTTTGTTTTCTTCTAATCTTTTTTTTTTCTTTTAAAAAAAATATTTAGTTTATTTATTCAAATTTTAATTCGAATTAAGATGTGATTTTATGTGAAAATTTTTTACTATAATAAAAAAATTAAATGTGATTATTTTTTAGAGTTTTATACTGTAATAAAACTTGAATTCTAAACTTAAATCGGTGAAATGAACAAGATCTTAATTCACTCGATGAACAAAATGGATATTGTTTAAACTGTTTTATGAAGTTTTTGTTTTTCTATTGTTTTATTTATGTTAATTTTAATTAAATTTAACGCTAAGAGAGATTGACAATTGACATTATCCATGGCTACTGGTAGTCTTAGTGCAAAAACTCATGAGTAAACATGAGCATTTAATTAAGACCAATTTAAGTAAAACTCCACGAAACAATTTTAGTAAAATCCGTCAGCATACATAAGAATTTAATTAAAATCAACTTTCCAAAAACCTTTCTGTGTTGTACCTCACGTAGATAATGTTTAATTTTTAAATATGATTAAAATTATAATACACTAAAACAAATATACAGAGTCAATAATTTTTTTAAAAATTTAATACCTAAAAACTGAGATGTATCACTAATTTATCTTTTCAAGTCTACTATAAAATTTAAGAAAAAATGATAAATTTTCTCATACGTTTAATATTTCATATTTTTTTAATTATTAAATTATATATTTTTTAATTTTTATGTGATTTTATATAAATTTAGTGAATAAAAAATTTAATTTACGATGGGTTGAGAAGGTAAAAAAAAAAAAAAAACAGAAGAATGCAGGGTCATTTCATGCAATGTCCGTACTCTGAATCTAATTGTCACCGACATTAATGCCCTCTATTTCTCTTCCTCATCTTGCCACTGTTCGTTCAATAAATCTAAAATCCCACTATGTCTTCTCCTCTGAGAATTAAAGAGAGAGAGAGAGGGAAGAGCAGAGAGGAGAGAGAAATCAACTCATTAAATGCTCCTCTGCACACACTCACTCTCTCTCTTGCCAGTTACACGTAATTGCAAAAATCAAAAAAGAAACCCCAGCATTTATAACTCTCTTCTATTGTTTGGACAAGATTTTCCTTTCAATGATGATTCAATTCAATTCTGATCTCTTCTCCCAAAATAAATAAAAAACGACATTTATTGCAATTTACAGCTTTTAAACTCGCCGCTTGCTCTTGTCCTTCTCTTTACGACTTACTCTCCACAGTAGTACCTCCCACACAACAATTATTATACATACATATATGTACATATATATTTCGGATTATCCCAGCATTCATTATATATTATTATAACTTTCAAAGCCTTTAATAACTTATTTCTTTCTCTCTGGTCCCTCTCTCCAATAGAGAGTGGATAGCTTTTAAAGGTGGGGTCTGAGGGATCTTTTATTGTTGTTGTTGTTGGCTTTTGGGAATTAAAGAAGGGAAGGGAGAGAGAGAGAGAGAGAGAGAGAGAGAGAGAGAGAGAGAGAGAGAGAGAGAGAGAGAGAGAGAGAGAGAGAGAGAGCAAGAGAGAGAGAAATATGGGAAGAACACCATGCTGTGACAAGAGGGGTTTGAAGAAAGGGCCTTGGACTGCTGAGGAGGATGAGATTCTTGTTAATTACATTAAAAACAATAATGGCCATGGAAGCTGGCGTTCTCTACCTAAGCTTGCAGGTTCTCATCATCCTACATATATACTCTGTCTCTCTCTCTCTCTCTCTCTCTCTCGCATATTCTTGTTTCTTCTTCTATCTTTGATGGTGGATCTTTTGGTTAGTTATTCTGAAAGCAAGGACTTTCTTTTTGGAAAGTGAAAAAGTTTTGATTTGGAGGGTTTGTAAAATTCTGTGAGTAAGACAAGGAGCTTCAAAATTTAAAGGAGGACCTCCAAATGGGGTAACCTAACACTGTATTAAAAGTATGGCTTTTACTGTTGACTTTTAAGTCATCTGAATGTGTCTTGCGTTTTGGGAGAGACTTTTATCTTGCATGGATTAATATGTACACTTGTGTAAAGTGATCATCATGGCTAGGGTTTAGTTAATCTCTTTAAAGCTCTTGAATAATTTGATGGCTTATTAGGGTGTTTTGCATAATAGTATTACTTGAATATATATATTCCTTTTTTACCTTTCTTTTCTTCTGGCCATGTTTTCCTAGATGCATTTTATCCTTCTTTCATTCTTTTTCTTTCTGTCCTTTGTTGAGTAGCTTGTCTCTGGATTAATGTTAATTTTATATAGTATTCTTCTCTCAGGAGCTATGGTTAGTCACTAATTTTTCAACTTCTTATCTTAATTACTTTGTTGCGAGCAACGTAAAAGATAACATCCCTTTTTATGAAGGAACTTGCCTTTAGCACAGGAAAGCCCTTCTTGAATTTGCTAAAGGAAATTCACTGCAAATTAGCTACAAGGAAACCGAATATTAGAAGGGTATTTGCTAAATAGTTTACTTTTAAACAATTTTCATTAGAAAAATTAACATTTTCAGTTTTGAGCTTCTTAATGTTGTTTCTATTATAAGTTTTGAGATTCTTATTTATCATCTTAGTTTAGATGTCTTTGCTTTGGCCGACTAGTAAGTACCAGATTTTCTCTGTTATTCTTTTTGATTGTATATTTTGCTTTCTTTTCAATTTGTCACATTTTTTCTATGGGGTAATACATATTATATACGTATTTCTGTGGAGTTTAACTTCTTTTTTCTTAATAATAATGTAACGATTTGATATCAGGTCTTCTTCGGTGTGGGAAGAGCTGCAGGCTTAGGTGGACAAACTATCTGAGACCAGACATTAAACGCGGTCCTTTCACTCAGGAGGAAGAGAAGCTCATAATACAGCTTCATGGCATGCTTGGAAATAGGTACTTTTTAGATTTAATGAATTAATTGTTCAAACTCTATCGTGATCTCCACGTGTTTTGTACGGTCAAACCTTGGCTCATTTGTTTACTCGGCAGTTGGACTTGGAATTTAGTATAATGTTAATGGTGTTTGGACAAGGTGCCTTCTCTAACATCAAATAAGAGAGAAAAAAAGTTGAAAGAAATTTAATAAGGGAAGTAGCTATAATATTGTTACATCATACATGGTGGTGCGGGCAATAAAAAATAGATAAATGAATAAATAAATATATAAACCTTTCGTGATAACATATATTATGAACGGTTAAATTACGTCAAAATCATATAATTAAAATAAAAGTGTGACAATTTAATTAGACTCCATAAAAATTTAACAATTAAAAACTGTATCTTATCACTATATCTGATCACGGAGTTCTCTAAATAAGATTTATCGTCTTTAGACCCACATGTAATGTATAATGTTTCAGGAAATCAATCAACTCTCTCCTTTATTGTAGACTAATTGACAACTCACATAAAGCCGGTGCAGATCGTTGACTAGGAAATTCCTATGTAATTATGTTATGTAATTAAAGTGTAATACAAGTTGACTGTCTCCAATATTATTTTAGCACAGTGTACTCAATTAATGCTAAACTGAACTAAATTTTCCTTGAACAAAATAGGCATTTGAAGTTTCAAGCAGTTAAAATCTTACATTCTAGATTGACATGAATCATTTTCAGGTGGGCTGCTATAGCTTCTCAACTACCAGGAAGAACTGACAATGAGATCAAGAACTTATGGAATACCCACCTGAAGAAACGCCTGCTTTGCATGGGAATTGACCCACTAACACACGAACCCTTCTCGTCGAATCACTATCCGACCACAAAATCCTGTCCTCCATCTCCATCCACTCGCCACATGGCGCAGTGGGAGAGCGCTAGGCTTGAAGCTGAAGCTCGCCTCTCGAGGGAATCGTCACTCTTCGGCCCCCAACCTCATACCAAAGCCAATTCCGACTTCTTTCTCCGCCTATGGAACTCCGAAGTAGGAGACTCGTTCAGAAAGCTTAGTAAATTTGGCGAAAAAATTGAATGCCATAGCAGCCCAATTTCTCAGGCTTCTTCGTCGACAAAGTGTGGCTCAGTTTCAGCCTTGACAACGGAAGTTGATCCCAACACGGCGGGGTTGGAAACCACTGTTGGCAGCCAAGTTGAAGAAATGGAGTACTGCAAGAGCTGCAAGTCAAATGGCGAAGATTTCATGGCTGCAGGCTCAGATTCCTCCAGCTCGAACGACATGGAGGATTCGTCGGACACTGCATTGCAGCTGCTCTTGGATTTCCCCATCAACAATGACATGAGCTTCTTGGAAGAGAACTGCAGTGACTACGGTGCAGCCGCCGATCATGCCATGCTTTCGGAGAGTTCTTTCATCTGTCCTCTATGAAACCTTAGGTAGCTTGACCATGTTTTGGGTTTTTCTGGTGTTTCTGTTTTGGTCAAGGTTTTATCTGGCTTGTTTTGAAAATGAAAGCTGTCAAGTGAGAAGGGCTTACTAGGTCTTTTGGTGTTTTTGGGTTATAGTTAGGAGGCAATGCAGTTATTAATTACTAGATTGATCTGTTTATCAGAACCGAGTTTGTTAAGGATTCAGTCTATGTATAGGAGACTTACATATGAGTAGTATATATTCCTTAACTTTAATTTTAGAATCCAATCATGTATTAATATCTCAAATTCAATCTTGATGACATAGATTATATCTCATATTGACATATTATTATTAGTGTTGACCCTGATCATCATCAGTCAAGTACTCTTCTATGACAGAAAATCATGAAGCAGAAACCAAGATCTTATGTAATTTGTTGAAGCATATCAGAACAATTTTTTTTTTTTTTTTTTTTTTTAAAAGAAAAAGGAGGTAAAAAAATTAAGTTTTCTGCTCTCGCGAAACAAACATGTTTTCTGCACAAACTTGGGATGATAATGAACACAAGTTTGATTCTCCACTTGATGGTTTTCACACAAAAAGAAACAGACAAACAAGGAAGTATACACATAAAAAAGAAGAGATTCAAATCATGTCTGAAGAAGGTGAAAGAGTTCAAAAACAACCAAGAAACTTCTTTGGGGTGTTCCCAGTGGCACGGTATTTAGCAGCCAACTCCTCTGCTTTGAGCAATTCTTCCCTACGAATAGCTTCAACAGCTGCCCTTTTCTCTTCTGCTTCTTTGTGAATTAAAGCCACTTTGTTCTTCATTTTCTCTGCATATTCGGCCTTTTTCTTCTCTAATTCTTCCTGTTAATCTCTCAACTAGTTAGAGTTTGTATTTGAAGTTTGAACCATAAGCTTCTAAATATATATGGCACATTCCTTTAAAGGGATAACAAGTACCCTGAACTATTGTTGCATCGCAACTTGGGTTTTGAACTTTCAATTTTAATAAAGTGGACCCTAATTTTAAAATTCCATTACAGCTGTGGTGCAATGGCTAAAGACATCAACTAATTGATAGAAATGCCTCAAAAGTTTTGCATAAATACTCTCAAAACTTTATTGATTGGAAAGTTGGACCTGAATCTTTTTAAATTTGGCATTCAAAATTCTAATTGTCGCTCTTTAATTGACGTCTGATATCGATTGAATTGCATGGTCAAAGATGGTCAAATTTAAGGTCCTAACGTCAAAATTAAAAGCTTGAGTCCAACTTGCAAACAACAAATACTTTTGGTGCAAATTACCCTAGCAAATAAAGTAACAAGAAATAAATAGATACGTATCCCTTCCCTTCTATAGTAAAAAATTCTAGTCAGGTAATCAGTCGAATGTAGACAAGCAAATAAATGTGCAATAAGGTTTAAAGAATCGGTACGAGAATTCTGCAATATCGTTAAAGAATCGGTACGAGAATTCTGCGATATCGTTAAAGTATCGGTATGAGAATTCTTTGGTAGTATATATAAAAAATAAAATAAAATTATATATTATTAAGTTTTATTAAATTTGCACCCTTTCTTTTATTTTAACGTGATTCAGATTAAATTTAACTGCTTCCCTACCATAAAATGCTTCAAATTTGTATATAAAATTCAGACAATAAGATAAATACCTCTTTCTTTCTCAGCTTGGCTTCCAAAGCCGCTTTCTTGCTGTTTTCGTATGCACCAACACTTGAGAGCTTCTTCTGAGCCCTGTTTATGACATGTTTAATCAGCTGAGTTATTTTCTTCTCAGCAGTCAAATCCTTTACACGAAATAATTATAAAAACAACTCCAAAACCATCTACAAATTCTTTTGCCTTCTCAATAAATTATAGAGAATTAATCTGACAATTGGCAAGAAGTCGTTGTCAGAAATATCCCCTTCATCCTGATCCATCCAATCAAAGAAAGCAGCTAATAAGCTATTTCTTATGTTGAGAAAATATTACCTAGGCATGCATAAAAACGAAAGACAAAAAGCCAAAAAAACAAAAAAATAATAATACTAATTTTTTTTTTTTTGCCTGAAACATATAAAATTCTCCCAATGAAAGAAAAGTTTAGGACTCTAGTTAAAAGCCTTACTTGTTCTCGGCCTTTGTTTTCTCACTTTCTTCCCATGCCTTGATATAAGACAACCGTTTTTCTTTTTCAACCTCCGCCAAAGCAATATCTGGGGAAAAAAAACAAAAAAATGAAATTATGAAATGATCATGACCTCTTGAATTGGAGGATTGGACATTGACAAATCCTAAACCATGAGCCATTTTATTCTTTTTATTAAGTAGGATATGCAAAATCCATATTATCCAAACAAATAAAATAAAATAAAAAGGCTATATGAATTATGAAATGAAAATAGGAGAAAATTACATACCTCTATCAATTGAACCTCCAGAAGGTTTTTTGACCAGTGGTTCTGGAGTCTCTGCCATTCCCCCAAAAAAAAAAGAAAAAAATAGATCAAACAACTAAAGGAAGAATGAATTGACGGGAGACCAAAAGAGCTATAATTGCGGGTTATATAGGAAAAGCTAAATTATGACTTGCAAAAACAGTATCATCAGCAATCTTGATATGCCAAAACTATTCTGTGCATAACTGTATAGTCAAGAATGCCAAAACTTTTCTAAAGTGATTCATTATTATCAAGAAAAAAGAAAAAAAAAAAGGAAAAAGAAATTAAAAAGCTCTATAGTCAAGAATGCAACTTTGACATATATCCAAGGGAAAACTATCTTTGGAGAGGAGAAGATCGAGATTCTCTCTTTTAAATGAAAACTCAAAGTTGAATGGCTCTTTTTTAAAGGGAGATGTTCCTTTAGTAATACTAAACCCCTAAATTATTGAATATTTTAAAACACAAGGACAAGACAAAACCATTATTATTTCTTTTTTTTTTTTTTATCTATTTCTATTGCAACAAATTAGCAGATTTTAGAATAATATTTTTCATTGTGGTGTAGGGGGTCATCAGTCACCAGATATTTCTGCACAACTCTACAATTGTGATTATTTTAATAGAAATACAATTAAAAAGTGGAATACAACAACAAATACAAAAAATATAACACACTTCCAGCTCAATTGCCGACAAGGTGAAATTAGAAAAAGCAAAAATGAAATAAGCATATTCAATAAGTGATATTCAACTCTTTTTAAAAATAAAAAATAAAAAAAAAACATAGAAAGTAAAATATTCAACTTGATTTCTACTTGATAGTACTTTTATTGAATATATACAACTCCAAAGACAATCAAAAAATTCAAAACTATATACATTAGACATGAGCCCGACATAAAAATTTATCTCAGACCACATTATGAGAATTTCTCACTTACTAATTATGTTTTTGAATTTTAGAGGATAAGCTACACTCAACTCTAGATTGATAACTTGAAATTCCTTTACAAAATCTTTCCTTTCATATTGATTTTCTTGGCTGCCAAACATGCTACTGCGTTTAATAACACAATATCCATATATATACGTGTGTACGTGTGTGTTTCTATCTATCTATATATATATATATATATATAGAGAGAGAGAGAGAGAGAGAGAGAGAGAGAGAAGTTACTTTCAACCACGGCAAGAGATTTGGATTCTTCAGCCTTGACTTGAGTTGGTGGTTGTGGTGGTGGTGGAACTACGGCTTTCTCCAAACCGACGTCGTATGGGGGCTGAGCCAGAGGTGGATTCAATTCCTCTTCCATATTATTCTTCAGCCCTGCTTCCATAGCTTCTCTTCTTTCAGACTAATAATATCAATTTTTATGTTTTTGCCCTATAGCGGTGCAATAATTCCAACGGATCATTCTTCATTAATTTTGTTTGTCTTATATATACTACTAATACAACCGTAAAGGACAGAATCAAGCTACAGGGCAAAACAACGTAGAAAACTGAGCTCGAATCTTGCGACCGTTCATTTTTAGGAAAGTTTTTGACACTGGTTTGACTGGGCTGATCCGGTGGATGTGCGTTGTCGATAGAGAGATAGCGTGTTAATACCGCGTTCATGCCGACAGGTAATACCGGTAAAATCGGCGCTTTGACGCTGCCACGTGTATAAGGGCGTGGAGAGACTACTGTCTCGTTCGGTATTTAAATTTTTAATTTTAATTAAAATATAATTTTATGTGAAAATTTTTTATTATAATAAAAAATAAATATAAATTTTTATTAAAATTTTTAACTGTTAATAAAATTAAAATTTAAAATTTGAATGGAGTGAAAGGAACATGCCACTGCTACGTCGGCAAAATGTGCATTTTGTGTATGGTGGGAGAAAACGACAAAGTTAGTTGTGGGGTCCACTTTAAAGATTTCCTTGACCTGAGGCGCGCCTTCCCTTCTGTATCAATTTAAGGCTTTCGTTTGATCACGCGCCGTAGCGAACACGTGAAATTTTGCAAATATGGCTTTTCCACTTGCAATTTTTTTTTTACGGGCACTTAATTGCAATTTTCTCTTTCTAATGAGTGTACACATAATGGGATCGTTTAGATTAATTTTAACCAAATAATTATAAATAATTTTTATATTAATAGATTTATAGAATATTATATTAAATTTGGTGTAAAGATAAAATCTTAAATTGTATATTTCCATGAAATTCTTCTTATTTTTTATTTAGTCATTACAATATCAACAAGTCCGTGAGCTTAGGCTTCTGTTGCTGATATGAAAATCTCTTATGGATTTGCCGTTCTTTATACATAAACTCTTGTGATGAGACGTTTGGTTCATAGATTCAGAACTATTCTCATTTTATGTGTGTTTTTATGAGAGAAAATACTGTAGCGAACTACGAACCATGATTCGAATCATAGTACGAATCCCCCTTCTAAACGTCGCTTCTTTATGCATAAACTCTTGTGATGGTTTCGCACAGCTTTAGTAGTTCTTTCACTTCAGGATAAATTCTCCCGTCTATGTCTCATAAAAAGAACTAGCAAGTTGATGGATCATTACTCTGAATAAATAGAATTCACTTTTATACCAATACGTTTTTTTTTTTTTTACCTTACATTGAATAAATAGAATACATATAAATAATTTAGAGTCTATCATATTCACATACGTAAATGATCTAACAACTACCCTTCTTTTTGAAGTAGTTAAAGATATAGTACGGTGGTTCCGTTGCTTTATATATTAATTTCGTATGTTAGTTAAGAATCCCAATGTTTCTTTTTTTTTTTTCAAATATCAAATAAAAATAAGTAAAAAAAGAAATTTTATTTTCATATTCTTTAATAAAAATAATATATATTAATCATAAAAATAATATATATTATATTGGTAAGAATTTTTCAGTGTGAAAATAAAAAAAGTTTGTTACGTTGAAATAGGTCTCCTGATATATCAGATAGAATAAGAAATACCCTTTATCTCATACTACTCCTTCGATACATAATGGAATGCAACGATTTTGGAAAAAAATAAAAATAAAAATAAAAATAAAATTCTAGTATTGAATTTGAAGTCAGATGCTATTATTACTTATTATTCATATTTCATATATCACGGAGCCATAGTTTTCTTTTTTCTGTCAAATTAAATAAAAAATTCATTGGCATCAAGCGTGAAGAAATGCTAGACATTTGATAATTTCTACTCCGACCAGAATAAAAGATCCCGTTAAAGCGGCTAATCTCATGTATATTATTTGTAATCCAAGTATTACCCATCCGTCGGTCGGGAGAGTTTATAAACAAATAGACTAGTATCTAGAGTATTATGAGTGTTTATTGGCCAAAAGGGTGGGGGGAAAAATGTATCGATTAGGACAGCTAGAGGCCTAGTACTTACTTTGAGTTTTTTTATTTTATTTTTTATTTTTTTTACTACTTATAGACCTCACTAATCATTTATCTTCTTTAAAAAAACTATAATAAAGAGATTCTCTAACTATGTACTTTTTAAACAAGGATTCTAGTTTTTTTTAACACACCCTCACGTCGTCATTGTATTAGCATATGTGGCTTTTTAATAATAATTAACCTAAAAATTTTTAAAACGCCCTACCCATATAAAAGAATGAGAATCAAAATATCATGTCACTAAATATTTTAAAAGTTGAGATTTCTAATATTATCCTTGAACAAAATTAAAATTTATGTGTATGTGACAAAATTCGATTAATATCAAAAGATTTGGCTCAAGAAAGTTAATGTCAAACGGCTGAGACTATTCTTTACATAGAAACGACTTCAAAACCAAGTGAGCACAGAAGAAAAACAACTAAGAGGAACCAAAAATAAAACACAAATTGCTTGGGACGTCGACCCACTTGTTTCTAGAACAAAGACCATTTGTGAGCGTCCACTTCACATGTTTGATTTCTAAAGAACGTCAAAGAAAGTGATTGAGATTGCTTAGAAGAAAAACTGCGGCCCCGTTCATTTCGTTGATTCGAGTTTAGAATTCGAGTTTTGTTACAGTAAAAAGCTCTCACAAACAATCACATCTAACTTTTTTGCTACAGTAAAAAGCTCTTACATAAAATCACATCTTAACTCGAATTAAAAACTCGAATAAACGAACTAAACGGGCCCTGAGTCTCCTCTTTACTGAAAAAATGGTTATTACACTACTTAAATAAAGGAAAAACTAAGCTAACTAATAACAAGTTGAACCAATCAGAAAATGTCACGTGTAAATCTTGTTACAAGTCTAACTAAAGCAGCTGACTGAATCAATACTCCTAACATCACAACATCATGAAGAGGCTACTCTTTACCCGTGAAGAATCCAAGAAAAATTGTTTTTGAAACAACGTCCTCGGCAATAGAACAATTGGATAGTCATTCTTGGCCTAACAAATCTCATTGTCAAGGACGTCAATCTTAAATCTCTCATATCCATATAGTCTAGCCTTTGAATCCTCACAACTCTCATTCTTTTTACATACTCATTTTTAATAAAATATTTTATTACTAATTACCCATTGACAAAATTACTTTTAAAAATAATAGTATTTAAAAGAAATACTCATTACACATCACACCTTAAGAAAATTACTGCCTTTTTAAAAATTATTGTTTATAAATGGTTTTTTGAGAAAATGAATAAAAACTCCACAAACTGATTTTTGAGAAAATGAATTACCTAAGTTTTTTTTTTTTTTTTTTTAAGCAAGTATATACGGTTTTGTTTTCATGAGAAGCCATATATCTTTTTAAGAGTAAAAAAAAAAGATGAAGATTTTGAATTTTAACTAGTAAAAATAATACAATTCAGTAGTAGGGACTTTTCTGTGATTTTAAAAGAGTGTAATAAGCAAAATGAGGATGATTTAAGATTATGTGTTTGAAAAGTAGAATATGGAGTTATTTTGTAGGGCTTTTTTGGATCTTAGGAGGGGTGTAAAACAGGCTTCGAAAATATTTTTCCTATCATTCATCAATATAAATGCGAAATAGGATCAATTTTATGAAAATTTAAGTTTAATTCAATTTATCTCTAAATTTGCTAGTCCAAATTGATAAGCAGTGGTAGCTAGTCCAAATTGATAAGCTCTCTCTCTCTCTCTCTCTCTCTCTCTCTCTCTCTCTCTCTCTATTTTTAAAGCTACAATTATCCATCTTAATTTCATCTTTTTTTTGTTTTACTAAACTTCATATATTATGTCTTTATCTCGAATAAAAATTCGTATTTTGTGTGTGAGTAGTCATTTTCTAATTATAAATGCCTAAAAAATATTTCAAATATTCTTAGAAATAAAAATAATTATTAATATCATAAAATAACATAATGGTATTTGAATTCAAATAAAAAAATATAGGATTGATTTACTCTATTGACGCTCCAAAAATCACTAGTCTAAAATAAGAAGTAGGGATTTTGTGTGATACAAAAAATATAGAAACATATTTTGGCCCATCTCAATATTTTTAATATACAAAACAAATTCTTACATTTCTATTAGGCACATGATGGTTTTGATATTATTCCTATAACTAACATTGACGAACTAATTTAAATTAAATATAAAACGTGAGATTTTTATAATATAGTAGGATAAAATACTCTATCAGTTGGTTTTGTTTTGAATGGTAAAATTTATATATGATTATATTAACTATATATATATTAATTTTATTGTAATTTTGACTAAATTAAACATTCAAAAACATGTAAGGTAGTTTACTTAAAAAGCTCCCACTAGAGATATAACAAGTAAATAGTGTAATCATTAAGGGGAAAAAAAGAAAGTAAATAGTGAACTAGCTCTTATGGACTTTATTTTTCGGTTTAGTCAAAAGCTTTTACCACTACTTGAGCTTTTGCATGGGAAACCCGTGGGGTCTTGACCACAAAGGTGTCTAGCATGGGATAATTAGCTTTTAGCTTTTATGGAGTATTCCTAAAAAAATTAAACCAAATAAAAAAAAATGCATCTTTTTGAGTTATGAAACTGTGAACGAAGGAGAAAATAAAGGTTTTGTTTATTTCATTAATTTGAGTTTTTAATTTTAAGTTTTTATAGTTAAAAGTTTTTAAAAAAATATCACATCTACTTTTGTTTGTTATGGTTAAAAACTCTCAAAAAAATATTATATCACAATTTAAATTAAAAATTTAAATTCGTAAAATGAATGAGGTTAAAAAAACTCTTAAATTTAGGGACTTTCTCCTATAAGGTTAGTCCGTGACACATCAAATTGAAAAAAAAAAATATATATATATATATATATAGAAAAAACAAATTTTTATATGAATTTAACTGCTAAAATTATAAATATACGTTTATATTTTCTTCTGATCCTACTAAAAAATGGTAGAAAAGCATGGATGAAAATGCACGCGCTATGAAAAGCG